TTGGGTGGTGGCCATCCTGTTGAAACGTTGTCTCTGACTCCAGAAAGATTGAAGTTGTCAATGAAGTTCACTCCTTTTACATGGCAGGTTTTTTGCAGCCATGTAGCCCAAGCAACCGTGAAAACCTGTTTGTTCCTCTTGCTGGGAGTGGTCCATGCACTGATGAATGTCTGAACTTTCAGTTTTTTAAGTGTTTCAAAAAGTTCATTGAAATCCTTCTTAAGGAGTTCTGACTGCGCTTTATGAATATCATTCTTCCCCACAGTAATGATAAGTCAATTTGCAGTCTTATGTTATATCAGAATGTTCTGAAGTTCCCTGTTTACATCGGAAGTTGTTGCTTGTGGAAGGCAACATGTAGTTGTATCCCTACTGCTATGGAGTCACCCACTATCAGAGTCCTGTGCTCGGCTGCGCTCTGAGCTGAGTGCCGCTGTCTGCTCGACCTTGAGCGCCAGTTAGCATCAGTGTTAGCTACTGGCTGATTCGACTACAGCACTGAAATTTAATAACTGTTCTGCCACGTGATATGGTCACCTTATCCTTGCAGGTGTAACGAATGGCCGTAATCAAAATGCCCCAGTCCTCAGAAAACCTTCCCCCTCTCCCCTGTTGTCATTGGCCCTAAAACCAGTTATCTTCAAAGGCCGTTATCACCTCGGCTCCCCTGAACAATCTCACCAAGAGACTGTGTCTGCAACCCTCAAAGACAGCACAGGGGACCAGACGACACTAGCCCTTTGGTCAAAGACTATAGAGATAAACTTCCAATACACAAGGACACTTTCTCAAATATTTATAGTATTTCTCCTGTGTTTTATGCATGTCCCTGTTTTATTAGCCTAGTTATGATTCTTTAGTTTTGAGTAACTTCAAATGTTGATATCCAAAGATGATGTATCACTGCTTTAATGTCTTCAAATCCCCTCTTTCTTGGTATCAAAACAATCCTCTTTTGATTTTATAATCAATGGTGTACAATGTTATGATAAATTGCATCAGGAATCAGGATATATATATATATATTTCTTTTTACCATACTTTTGTGTAAAGACTGCACAAATTATCCATGCCACCATGAACTAGGGATGGGCATTTTTAAAAAATAATGCATTCGAATATTCGGGCTCACAGAAATCGAATATTCGAATATTCGTTTAGCCTATTTAAATGACATTTAAAGGGACACTGTGTAGGTTTTTAGGTATTTTATTATCTGAAATCAATATTTTTATTCTTAAATATGTCCTCAATGGTGTACAAATACCTCTGCAAATTATCTGACTTATCCTCGTAAATTAAGAATTTATTATCTTTATGTACATGGGACGGGTAGGTTCACGGAGGCTTCCATGTCGTTCCGCCATCTTGAAAAACTATAATAGCAGAGAGGGTCAAAAAGTACCAACCAAACGCGTTTCCACAACGCGTTTTCGTTCAGAGCCAGCGTCATGTAACTGAAAGCAGCAGAACCGGAGGAGCAGAGCTGAGAGGCGCTGGTCACTGCCCCGGCAAGTTTAAAAGGCTGCATTGCTTCTCTTCTCTGCCTTGGAAACTTTCAATTCTATCAAGATCGTCTCTTGTAGCTGCCGCGGGCATCTTTGTCGTCGTGGTATTGACTCTCGCTCTCCTCCTCTTCCTCGTCGTCCACCTCTACTAGACGACAGCGCCGGGTGATTCTGTCAGCAGTAAATAGGCTACTTTTAAAATAATGTAACTCACGTTTGAATGCCTTTTGTTTGTGATCCGATGTGGATTCTGATCACCATATAAGGTAGAAATATTTATACGCGAGTAAAAGACTATATTGCACGCTAACCATTAACGTTACCATAGTAAACAAAATAAACGCTTGAAGATACGCATAGTAAAAAAAACATAGTGAACGTTTGAAGAAATCAGACCAATCATAAAGGTTATCACAATAATGTTTTTATTTTATCTGTCAGATAGCCTACGTCTCGTCTCTTTATACCGGACTATCATAAAATAAAGCACATTTTTTTTCCCGGGAGCTTCCTCTGTTTCTCTGACGGAAAATATCTGTAACGTTAGCCTACTGGGAGTCGAGAGAGTGCTAAAGCTCCTCAGGTCGTATTATTGGTGGCATATATTTGTAGAAATTATCATTCTTTTTAAATGTGATATATGTCCTGTTACTACCAAATAAACAGAAACAGACGCGATTGAAGTAAGTGTGTCCTATTTCTTTTGTGAAACCTAACGGTAATTTATTTCTGTGTGACTAATGTGCAATTTTGACATACATTAATTCATGATCAATGTATCGCCTTTTATTGTAGACCTGGTAAAACATCGATGCTTGGGTTTTAAATAGTCAAGTAAACAACAAAAATGCCAGCAAACGGTCGCTTTTATCATATTTGTTTTGCAATGCTGTTTCCATTTCTTTCTGATTAGTTTTCTGATAACACGGGCGTGTTTTATTGAAGCACCGCGGAGCTTCTGGCCTGACAGTGGAAACGTTCTTCTGATCCACTGCCTCTCTGTCCTCTCCCTCTACTGTTGAATCATCTGATGATGATGATGATGATGATGATATCTAATCTAACAATGCACGTACTTAAGAAAATATAACGAATAAATAAGCATAAATACTAATTACAATGGTTCATGTTTTTCACAGTCAGTAATTCATACTGTAAAGTTGCAGTTTGTTTGAAATAACAAACCTGTTCACCCAAAGGAAAACTCGACGAAGTGCTATTAGAAGACGTCCTGTCAATAGCTTTTTGGTACATAACGGCTACCGTAGATGCAATACACATTTGAAAAAGCGAGGCGCTGGAGAGCACAATTCGTTTGAATGCAAAATACAATTTCACCGCTAGATGGGAGTAATTCCTACACAATGTCCCTTTAACGAAAAAGACGTTATTTTTTAAGTACATTTTTCAAAAAGTTTTTGTCACCATTTCTTAACAAGCTTACGATTAGGCAATATACACAACAAGCTTACAATATATGTTAAAGTTTTCTTTTAGTTGAAAACATTAAACAGTTGGCCTATGTGTAAACAAAATATAAATAACAAAAGGATGTAAGCTCAAGCAGCGCGAGCGGAAAAAAAACGCCTAATAAAGCAGAGTAGCAGACTGCGCCAGATATCGAACAGAACGTACACACACACTCAAGTCAGCATGATTATCGTGTATATTGTTTAACATTTATGTTGAGAAAAACAATAATGTCCACATGCAGGGGCGCCGCCAGCCATTTATGCTCGAGTGAGAAAACGCGCTGCACTGACAGACGATTCAGAGACACAAACGGTCACGGTGTTATAAGTTTCTAACAGTACTTTGCGTTTTCTGTTCTTAAACCTGTCTCTCTCAATGAAACTTAAGGGAAGTATGTCTAAAAAAATAATTTTGCTATTAGATAAGTTATCATCTCTCGGATCACGCGCGCTACAGCTGCGCTTACCTGCAGTCGTAGTGATGGACAGCTGTCTTTCCTCAGTCGCCTGCTGTTTGGATTTCATGTGATTTCTCATTGTGTTGATGATATTATAACTCAGATTAATTAATTCATTTGATCAAAAGTAATTCCCTTCTGTAAGATCATTTAGTAACATAATTTTCAACTAGTAGTCTAATTCCAAACTTTGCGAGGCAGACGACGACGACGACATTATGTGATCAAATACAAACAACTTGTTAAACACGCACCACAGCGCCACCCAGAGGATTTAGTTATAACTGCGAGTTAGTGCTTGGGATTTATCAGGGATTCACTGCATTTACGGCCAGCAAAGCATTTAGGCTACGGCTTCATAAATTCGATAAAATTCGAATAGTATTTTGTTTTTCGAATAATAATTACAGATCGAATATTCGAAAATTCGAATATTCGTGCACATCCCTACCATGAACATGCAAATGTATATAAGATGGAACAAAGACTTTCTCCAGGTCATCTTAGATTGGTCACCTTATCAAATGGGTGTGAAGTGAACTGATAGGACCCTTAAAAGTATCTGATTAAGTCAGAACTTTGCTCAACCTCTTTGAGACACCATCCTCCGTCTTCTTCCGGCAACTTCATCTACAAGTTAACTTCTTTGGATTAAACATGGAACACCCCAAGAACCCAAACGAACGCTTCAGCGCACTCCTGGGAAAATCATCAAGAATCTACTGCATCTGGACTTGTTCAGCAACCAAAACCAATGCAAGTACCCGTTTGCAGCCTTTAGATGCGTTTCTAAGTTATTGTGCCCCTTTAAGGTAAGGTGACCCTGATTCTCTGATATTTCTTGTAGGTTGTGGTTAACTGGTTGTAATCTTGCCATTCTCTTTTCTTCTCTCTCTCGCTTCACTTTTCTTTACTTTGATTCTGTATACAATCTTTTCTTAGTTTAGTTGTGTGTGTGGCCTACCGTAGTTTCTTTTTTTAAACCATTATATTCACATGTTATTGTCTCTGTGTTTGCCACTCACAAAAATATCAAAGTCACTTAAACATCTTGATCTAGCTACCTAGGCGATTACCCTGCTAGTACTTGATTTACTTTAGCTGGAAAAGGTTATTCTTTCTTGGCCAGGAAGATACTATATTTCCTAGAATTAATGATTGATTATGCTTTGTTCATTGGATGAACTGATTAAATAATTGTACTATTAATTCTGCTACAGTCAATTCTAAAACATTTAAATATTTATAATTAATTATAATTCGTATATTTTAAACTGTAACTCTTTACTCAGGATACACACACCTCAAGTTTTACAAGGTGAACAGTGCTTTGGATAGTAGCCAATACTGTAGAGTTGTAATAAAAATCCAAGGCATTTTCATATATATATGCATATATCTTTATTTCGGAGTAATGTGGTATGACAGGAAATGGGACAATGAATCAATATCGCAACACAAAAAAGAAAAAGGTCTGAAATAAACTGTTTCCCCTACATAAAAACATGCTTGCAAAGGCATAACATGTACATGACCTTACAATAATTAATTTTTTTTTAAATAAAAAAAAATCTGTATTTATTTAGTTAGGACCAAAGCATTTCTATTCCATGGTGAAAAATGCTCAAGTTTGAGATGATGTCCAGATAAAGCCTGTAAGCCAACAATCAGCTGTGCAGCTAGTAGGAATGTTATCACCACACATTGCACTCATCTTTAACATGAGGAATAAACTATTTAACTAAGTGTCTTTACATTTCTCTCTTTTAAACGTGGAAAAGGTGTGAAGGATAAGGAACATATCAGCATTTTAAAACAAGGAAATCATGATATTGTATAACAAAAACAGGCTAAAATTAATCAATTCCAACCAGAACAATTTGGCAACTGGCAAATCTAACACTACTTCACTGGATTTTGAAATGAAATATGATTTGGGCATGTGTGGTGTTTCTAATTTGGGGCTCCAATACTTAAAATATACATTTGGGATTTCGGTTTACCTTCGCAAGTCCCCAGACATAGGACCAATATGGTCAGAAAATATATATTTAAGAGTCTGTTTGGTGCTGTGCATTTTCTTGGAAACACAAGTGTATGAATCCAGATACAATTTAAAATAATAATTTAATCAAAGTCTAAAATTCTTATAAATAATGCCTCCTGTAAATATGCTGGTTTGTATTTTTAGAAAATGTAAGGATTAAACTTGATGCTGTAACAGAATCCTTTAATTTGGTTCTTCTGCCATATCTGCAATGCATCAATATAGACACTTCACATCGGGGCAGGGGCTGAATGAACTATTATCATATATTTGGTGCAGATCTGTCATTTGTGATGGTGGGTCGTAGTTTGACCGTGGAAAATGGATTCCCACCCCTGAGGAGGAAAACAAGCATTGTGATTGCAGAGAATCCGTTAAATTCTAGAGCGCTATAGTAATATGGGGAATTAATTCTGTTAAAAGACACTCACCCAAGGAACGGAGGCACTGAGTGACCATTTGGCATAGACACCTGTTGCAAACACAGAAATAAGAATAAAAGTGATTAGCATAAACGGTGCTTCCATTCTTTAGAACATGCAAGAGCAGAGTTGATTTTCCCTGTCAGACTGGTTCGATTAGGACGTCAACGCATAATTCTGTCGTTTCACCAGCCGACTAAGTACCTGGAACAATCACTGTGTCCTATGACCTCATCATATGCGTCAGGAATCTTGATAATCTTGAAATGCTTGATTTCTCTGCCTTAGTGTTGACAATCTAATCATAACTACTTTAAGAGATGATGAACTGTAAACAGTCATGGAAGATGTACATAACCTTATATGAGAGAAGGATGGAGTATCTTAGAGTTAAAATCTGACAAGTTTTGATCAAGGCAGGCCTTATTCCATATTAATAGAGTAGTTCACTCAAAAATGAACATTATGTCACAATTTACTCATGTTATTCCAATGTAATTTTTCTGAACAACAACAAAGCGCCCACAGGCTGTCAAGCTAAACAAAAAGACCCCCCCCCCCCCCAACAAACAAACAAACAAACAAACGCACACCATAAAAGTACTCCAGTCCATATGATTAATTTTACCAAACAACAACAGTTTACAGTGACTATAGGCTGTCAAACATCAAAAAGGACAAAAACAAAAAAAAACAACGACAACAAAAAAAGTCACAATTCATTTTAAGCCATACCATGGTTTTAAGGAACAGATTGACACAATTTTTGTTTTATGGAAAGTTGAACGAAAATCCTTAAAAATAATATCCTGTTGTGTTCCATAGCAAAAAGTAAAATGAAGTAGAGCAGTGGTTTTCAATCCTGGTCCTGGGGACCCACTGCTCTGCACATTTTGTATGTCTCTCTTATCTGACACACCTAGTTCAGTTCATGAGCTGATGATCTGAATCAGTTGTGTTAACATACAAAATATGCAGAGCTGTGGGTGCCCAGGACCAGGATTGAAAACCACTGAAGTGGAGTAAATGACAGTTTTCCTTTTTTTTTTTGGGTGAACTATCCCTTTTGTCATCAGAGGACAGACTTAAGTTCACACACTGTACCTGTCACAACAGTCCACATGTCTACCAGAGTCACCAGCCCATCATATGATCACATTCAAGGTGAATTAGTTGTGTCTAAACACGTTCGCTTTGATCTCTGTGCCCTGAGGCAGTACATGTGTCTTGAGGTCATTCAGGAGAGGGAGCCAGATACTCAAATACAGTTTGCCATAAGTTAATATAGTGCAATAATCTCCACTCTCCCTCAAAATGAGAAAACCAGGTAGAGAACATTTTTCAGATGTCTTTTTATTTTTCACAATGATAGCAATGCAGAGCATTCATCTACCACTCCCTAGGCCCCCTGGCAAAGAACAAAGGTTACATTATTGCAGGTCTTATAAGTAACTTGTAACTTATGTAGAACTAATTTGTACATTTTAAAGCCTATTGTATAACTGAACAAATACAGTGGGGTCCAAAAGAAACTGCTAGTGAAAATACTTGCATATATTTGCATTGCAAATTGAATCGATTTTTTCTTTACGAATTATATTAGCAGCAAAAATGTATATAAAAGTTTAATTTGAAAATTGTACATGCATTTCTGAATGTCTTAGAATTTGTTTTAAGCCATTTTGCTTTAAATGACAGCCGCACTCAAGCTGCACAAACTCCACAAGTTTGTGTAAAACTTGATAACCATGTTCTTCAGCATGATGAGATGATCCTAAGAGTATCTTGAGCTTCAATGGAAGAACATCTGACTATGTACGAAGAGTTCACATGGTCAGTGTCACACATTTACTTGTTTTAATAGAAAAATAACTTTTTTAATAGAAAAATAAATAAATAATATATGTATATATATATAATGTTTTTGAAAGTCTCTTATGCTCACCAAGGCTGCATTTATGGGCATGTTTACACCGGGTCACTTCATGCGTTTTCTCTGATTGCACAGCCATCCGATCGTGAAAAGAGGCGAAACGATCGTGAAACGCATTTGAGAGAGATTTAAATCGATCATTCAAACCACTTACGGAGGTGGTTTGAGACGCATTCCAAATGAAACTGGGCAAGTGTAATGAAACTGGTTTTACTCCTCCCAAAATGAAAAAATAAAAATTAAATGCAAATAAACTGCCGAAAATTAAAGTTCGGCGTTGCATCCTGAAACTCAACACACAGTCATCTTCATTAATAGTGAGACTAAATCAAACTAACTTAGACTAAATTATCGTACTAGTGATAGCGCTGCTCTCTCTCCTATTGCGGTATTTGATCTTTAAATTAGCTGATGATAAATAAAATGCAGCGCATATCTGTTGCTTTCATCGAAGTGAACTTAAATTTGCATACAACGCGGGATTGAAGATCGGATTTATATTCGTTTTGCGGAGACACTTTTATGTGGTCAATAAAAATGGAACAGTTTTAACAAATTGGATGTTGGTTATCCGATCAGTAAAAATGCATAAAGTGAACAGGTGTAAACAGGCCGGTCACCGTGTCACCGTGATTTTGCCAAGTAAGACATGTTCCTGGATCAACATATTTTGTTGATCCTGGAACAACATTTCTGTGTCGAAAATTTAGTCCTAACCCCATCCCTATCCCTAAACCAAACCCTACCCATAACTTTTCCCTAAAGGGAAATGATAGGTGAATAACACTGATTTAGAAGCCCCATATGCCATAAGCCTCAACTTGACAAACTGTAAACTTGCCCCTTAAATATTATTGGTTGATTGGAAAGTTGTTCCAGAATCAACAAAGGTGTTTCATTTTTGCCCTAGAGGAAAACCTCATTCAATCAGGTGACAACCTCCCAGAATGACTTTGCCTTCTTTATTTCAGCCACAAAAGGATAAGATGCACAGATACTACCCTGTGTCTCGCTTTCCAGAAAATGGCTCCTTTTCCAACTAACTTTGCTCTCAGCATTCCTATTTGCCACCGCACTGTGTTTACCGTGTTCTGTGGAGAGGGGGTGGAGTGCTTGATGGGTCTGTCCCTAGATGAGTCACTGTAGTCAGGCGGGGGCAGCAGCACGGGTTCCTCCACCTCCTCGTCTTCCTCCGGCTGCTCTGGAAGATCAGTCACACTCTCGACTCTGCTGAACAAAGTACATAAATTGATGTCTTACTGTTTGTTAATGGTTAGATAAGCATTATTTTCAGTTGAAATCCCATCATTTTTGCTCTCAAATAAAAGAAAGAGCAGACTCACCTGTTTGTGATTACCGGCTCGTTGTACGTCCGGCAATAAGATGAGGGAAACCAGCCCCGCCTGCAATTGAAAGCAAAAAATATCCATAATGTGCATCATGATTTTCTAACAAAAATGGGTGCCAGCTCCATTTCCATATGCATTAAGACAATTTTTTGTTCTCTGCCGTTGCATGACTAATCAGAAACCACTGTAGTGGCACAAATGTACAGCGAAACACCATGTAGTATGAAGAGTTCATTTGGTTTTGGTTGCTTAGGAACTGTCACACCGCCAGCTGTGGATAACTTTGAACTGAGCCTTCAAGAGTGCGTCAGTGCATTAAGACTTTTTACTTCTCAAAATAGTGGTGACAGAATAATGGGTAGAGAGAGAAAATCTGTCCACCTCAGACCTCTGAAATGGCAGATCTGGTCAGGGACAACAGAGCTGCTCATTAAATTATACAAAATAAACAAGTGTAAGACCACACAAAGCACAGACACTGATGCTTTCACTGCAGTAGGATCATTTTTCTTTGGTTTGTATGTCGCTATGAATAAATCATTGCATATAACAAACAGATTCACCTGTTAGCTTTAAAATTATGTTTTTAATAAGGCACCATCATCACCAAAACAAATGACAAAAATTGTTGTTTTCAAAAGGCAAAGAAAAACAATCAGATAGTTTAATTAATCAAATCAAAAATCAGCTTCACCCTAAAGAACGTCTCGGGTTACGACTGTAACCCTCGTTCCCTGAGAAGGGAACGAAACGCTGCGTCGAAAATCGACACTATGGGGAACGCCTTCAGCGTGACGCGTCTGAAGCCTGTATGGAACTAGTCCAATCTTGATTGGTGCTGCGTGATGACGTCACTCGTGACGCCGCATGTGACGGTGAACCGGAAACTATAAAAGGACACCGGCAACATAATGGCGCCAGCTTTCAATTGGTCGAAGCAAGTCGTTCTCAGGAGCGCGAAGGAGTGGCCGAGGGACGCAGCGTTTCGTTCCCTTCTCAGGGAACGAGGGTTACAGTCGTAACCCGAGACGTTCCCTTTCGAGGGAACTTCCGCTGCGTCGAAAATCGACACTATGGGGAACGAATGCCCACTGCGCCACTCTGAGAGAAACGCCCTGGTATGAAATCTGGCATACTCAAGACGAGAGAACTTGAGATCCCGGTGTAGAGGGCAGATCCAGACTGTAATGTTTTATGAAGGTGTGAGGGGAGGCCCAGCCTGCGGCATCACAGACCTCTTGAAGAGAAACTCCTGACAGTAGAGCCTTAGAGGAAGCCACTCCTCTAGTCGAGTGGGCTTTCACCAGAAGAGGCGAAGGCAAACTGCGCGCCTCGTAAGCTGAAGATATAGCCTCTACTATCCATCTACTGATAGTTTGTTTAGAAACAGGAGAACCCTTTTTAATTGACCCAAAGCACACAAGAAGTTGGTCTGACTTTCTCCAGCCCAGGGTCCTCTGAGTATAGACCTCCAGGGCTCGGACCGGGCACAATAAATGTTGCTTAGCTTGCTCATCCGACACATGCGGTGGAGGATGAAACGCCTGAAGAATTATAGACCGTGCCACATTTGTCGGCACTTTAGGCACATAGCCAGGTCTAGGGTGGAGAATGGCCTTTACCCGGCCAGGAGCGAACTCGAGACACGAGGGAGCAACCGATAAAGCCTGCAGGTCCCCAACTCTCTTGAGGGACGTAATTGCCAGCAAGAAGGCCACCTTAAAGGACATAAATTTCTCAGACACCTCATCCAAGGGCTCGAAAGGGGCCAAGGATAACCCTTCGAGGACCACTGTCAAGTCCCAAGAGGGAACTCTGGACTGGACGACAGGCCTCATCCTCCTAGCTCCACGAAGGAAACGAACAATAAGTGGGTGTCTCCCCAAGGTGCCCACCCCTAGAGGCGTGTGGAAGGCAGCTATGGCCGCCACATAGACCTTAAGCGTGGACGGGGAGAGCCCGTCAGAGAAGCGACTCTGGAGGAACTCCAGCACTGAAGCCACCGGGCAGTTAACTGGGTCCAACTGAAGTTCTCTGCACCATATGTTAAAAACATTCCATTTTAATGAATAAAGTTTCCTCGTGGAGGGGGCTCTAGAGTTCAAAATGGTCTCCACAACCTCAGTTGAGAGACCAGTATTTACGAGCTGGTCCCCCTCAGGGGCCAGACCCACAGCTTCCACAACTCCGGCTGAGGGTGAAATATCGTGCCCTCGGCCTGAGAAAGAAGGTCCCTCCTGATCGGGATTTGCCAAGGAGGGCCTGCTAGAAGAACCATGATGTCCGAAAACCATACTCGGGCCGGCCAGTACGGGGCTACCAGGAGTAAGCTGATCCCGTACCGCCGGACTCTCTCTAGAACCCCTGGGAGCAGAGCGATAGGGGGAAACGCATACAGACGTAGCCTCGGCCACGTCTGTACCATGGCATCCAGCCCCAGGGGAGCTGGATGCGATAGGGAGAACCAGAGTGGGCAGTGAGAATTCTCGTGAGTGGCAAATAGATCCACTTCGGCCTGTCCAAACTCCTTCCATATTAGCTCCACCGACTCTGGGTGGAGTCTCCAATCCCCGGGCCTCAGCCCCTGCCTCGACAGAATATCTGCTCCCACATTGCTGCTTCCAGGGATAAACATAGCCTTGACTGAAAGAAGTTTGCCCTGGGCCCACAGGAGGACCTGGTGCGCCAGTCTGCATAGAGGGCGCGATCTCAGGCCCCCCTGCCGATTTAAATAGGAGACCACTGACGTATTGTCTGTTCGTACCAGAACATGATGGCCTCTGAGGTCCGGAAGAAAGTGCTTGAGAGCCAGAACTACCGCCAACATCTCCAGGCAGTTGATGTGCCAAGACAGATGGTGGTCTTTCCAAAGCCCCCTGGTGAAGCGGCCTTCCATAACCGCACCCCAGCCTGTTAGGGAAGCATCCGTGGTCACAATTTTTCGCTGACACGGTGCCCCCAACACAGGACCTAGGGAGAGAAACCAAGGTTTCTTCCACATTATCAAGGAATGAAGGCATCTGCGCGTTACCTTGATAATGCGAAAAGGGTTCCCCCTCGGGGAAAACCCCTTGGTCTTGAGCCACCACTGTAAGGCTCTCATGTGCAGCAGGCCAAAAGGAATCACGTTGGACGCTGCCGCCAGGAGACCCAGCACTCTCTGAAAGTGCTTGACAGTGATGGTTTGGCCCAGCCTGAAACTCCTTATTGTGGTCAAGATGGAATTTACACGAGCAGGAGACAACTGTGCCCGCATTGTAAGTGAGTCCCAAACTACTCCCAGGAACATAATCCTTTGCAGAGGAGTCAACGAACTCTTCTTGACATTGAGTCTCAGTCCCAAGCACCTTAGATGGTGCAGAACAACATCTCGATGTTGAACTGCCAATACCTCCGACTCTGCTAGAATTAGCCAGTCGTCGATGTAATTGAGGATGCGAATGCCTTGAAGTCTGAGAGGAGCAAGAGCAGCATCCATACATTTGGTGAAGGTGCGCGGTGACAGTGCTAGACCGAACGGAAGAACCTTGTATTGGTAAGCCTTTCCCCCGAAAGCAAACCTTAGAAACTTCCTGTGTTGCGGAAGGATGGAAACATGGAAATACGCATCTTTCAGATCTATCGTTACAAACCAGTCCTCGGACCTGATTTGACTTACGATAATAGGTATGGTCAACATTTTGAACCTGTATCTCCTCAGAGACCGGTTCAATACCCTGAGATCTAATATAGGACGTAAACCCCCATCCTTCTTGGGAACTATGAAGTACCGGCTGTAGAACCCGGTTTCCTGCTCTTGAGGAGGAACATACTCTATGGCCTCCTTTGATAAGAGGGACTGAACTTCCTGTTCCATGACCTGACCCTGCTCGGAGCTGACCAGTGTGTGCACGACCCCGCTGAATCTTGGCGGGCGATATTCGAACTGGATTCTGTAGCCCTTCTCTATTATATGCAGGACCCACTGAGATATATTTGGAAGACCCTTCCAGGTGTCTAAATATTCTACTAGGGGGATCAGTCTCTCGAGACTGACCTCTGGTGTTACATTTAAAACCTCGGTGACCTGAAGCAGATGACTGGCAGGTCTTAACCGAAATAATTCTTCTGCAGGCCTCTTGAGAGGAAGCGAACTCGACCGGGCCACCAACATTACGGGTGGACACTGCGATCTGCGTTCGCTGGAAACCGATGCGTCCCGAAGCGCCTTTGGCGGCGGGAAGCATACATCGATTTCCTGAGGGCTCCGCGAAGGAGCGAGTTGTTGACACTCGATCGCGGGGGGGAACGCCCTCAGAGGCCTGCGCAACACGTCAGGACCTCTTCGACGAAGCCTTCCTCGCCTGAATAACGGTCCTCAGATCCGTTTTCGGCAGGGAAGACTTCGGTTGAGAGTGTTGCCTCTGGCTCCAAGCCTTCTTCGGGGGAGCACGAGAAGCAACACTCTCTCTTTGTTGTTGCATGTGGGAGGAGCTGGCGGCCGCCTCGTGGGACTGCCCCCTGGCAGCAGACCCACGCGACTTGGGACGACGGCGGGGGATTAGCTGTTTTAATGCGGCTGATTGTCGTTTTGTCTCCTGAAACCTCTCGACGACAGTATCGACTGCGTCGCCGAAGAGGCCAGAAGACGAAATCGGGGCGTCGAGGAGGAAGGCCCTGTCCCTATCCCCGACGCCCGACAAATTCAGCCACAAATGCCTCTCCGTTGCTACCAAGGCTGCCATAGAACGGCCGATTGCACGGGCCGTCTCCTTAGTAGCACGGAGAGACAAGTCAACCGCTCGACGCATCTCTTGAATATCGTCGAGGGCGACCTCCCCGCTATCGTCCACCTCTTTCAACAGGTCGGCCTGGTACGCCTGCAGGAGCCCCATTGTGTGCAGGCATGCACCAGCCCGACCTGCCGCCATATATGCCTTCCCAACCAAAGCCGATGTTGTACGGCAGGGCTTGGAGGGAAGCGCCGGAGCCCTCAGGGACGATGCAGCTTCGGGCGAGAGATGAGATGCAAAAGTCTCTTCAACCCGAGGCATCGTCCCATAGCCCATCTCTCTCGACCCCATTATGGTGGAATATATATTTACATTGGGGCTGGAAAGTCGAGAGGAGAAGGGCTTATCCCACGACCTCGACACCTCGGTGTGGAGATCGTGGAAAAATGGAAGACTCCGGCGTGAAGGTTGTGACTGGGTTTGCAGGAAGCGCTCATCGAGTTTACTTTTTACCGTCGCTTCCTGCACTTCTAGTGGCCAACTGATGTTTAGTTTGGCCACAGCCCTAGTCACAACCTCCAGCAGCTCCTCAGATGCAGGAGAATGGGGTGGCAGATCCCCACATTCCCCTGCACCGATGCTCAAATCATCCACCTCCTCAGAGGCAGACAATTCGAGCATCTGGTCCTCATCACGGGCGGGAGAAGCCGCAGGGCGGGCTCCCGGTCCGCGAGCGGGACCATGGGAACTGGCTGATGAATGTTGAGAAAGGGCCTCGGCCGTCTCAACATCCACAACCAGATCCCTTTGCGATCCCCAGGAATGCAGGCGCCGCGCTGCCTCGGCAGACGCGGGACCCGATCCCTGGGGAACGCGTGCCTGTCCTGATTCACTGAACAGACACAGCCGGGAACGGAGCGTTCTCATGGGCATGAGATCACAGTTTGCACAGACAGCACCCTCGAGTGCTGCCTGTGCATGCTCCATTCCCAAACAAACAACACAGAGCGAGTGTGTGTCACCCTCGCTCAAAAAGCGTGGACAAGGGGACGCACACTGTCTGAACTGCTTCTTAGCTGCCATCTCTCACAAAATACAATCACAAACAACACCAAATAAGACACACAGTCACATAGAACGCTTGCTGAAGATCAGAAAGCTGGCGCCATTATGTTGCCGGTGTCCTTTTATAGTTTCCGGTTCACCGTCACATGCGGCGTCACGAGTGACGTCATCACGCAGCACCAATCAAGATTGGACTAGTTCCATACAGGCTTCAGACGCGTCACGCTGAAGGCGTTCCCCATAGTGTCGATTTTCGACGCAGCGGAAGTTCCCTCGAAAGGGAACAGTAAAACATACATTTAGAACTTTATAAATTATGTGCATCAAGAAATCGATATTCTTTTGCTGAGTTTTTATGATAAAGCAGAGCTGTGACAAATTTTTCTGTGGATTAACTTCCATGAAATAATTCTTCAAGACAAGTAATATTCGCTAACAAACCAAATAGTGTCCATTTTGATTTCATGCATACTTTAAAAACTACTAAATGTGAAAACAAAACTCAATTCTTTTGAAGTTTCATGATTCATTAAATCAACTCTCGTCTGTGCCGTATCTCGCTAAGCGAGAATCTACATTCTCATTTACAAATAATACCTTACTCAAACTCGCTCTAAACATGTCAGGTCAAATGTCAGCTCGCCCCGTTGTTACACCACATTCCCAGGTCAAGAAAACTTTCATTTGGAAATAAAAGACTGTGATAAGAGGAGAACGAATGCCCCTCATCATGTCTAACTGAAGGAACCACGTTTGTTTGGGCCAATAAACCTACTGCCCTGCAAAGGTGTACGCCAGCGTGCTTGTTCCCTCGTAATGACTTATGTAAGCAACTCGAACATGTTTGACATGTTGAACATGCCTTACCAAATTGTGCAAATCAGGAGAGTAAATCTGACAAACAGAATCATGGAGCCAGTATTTCCAGCTCAGAAAAGCTAATGTTGCTATCATTCAAGTGCCAAAGGGGTACCATGGACAAAGGAAATATAAATGAAAAGTTGCAGTGTCTTTAATGAGCCTCATATTGTTCCAAACCTATATGACTTACTTATTTAGCAGAACAGAAAATATATTTTAAAGAATGCTTCAACTGTTTGTTCCTATATAATTAAAGTCCATGGAAACTTTTTTTTTGTTTTCCACAGAAAAAAGAAAGTCATTTAGGTTTGGAACATCATGAGGGTGAGTAAATTATGACTGAACTTTCATTTTGGGGTGAACTATCCTTTATAGGATGAAAAGCAATTTTGAATTGAATGAATATTTTTTTTTTAGCACTTACTGTCCAGTATGTTCTAGTTCTCCATATAGCCATCCATCTCGCTCCTCTTGGATAAGCAGCGTGATAATGTCTCCATCATCAAAGCTAAGCAGGGTCTCGTTATTTCCCGCTGTGTGGGGGAAGATAGTTTGCACCCTGTTCTTCTTGGCCACATCCATACCGCTAGACACAGACGTAGACCTAGAAAGGCTGTTTCCATCTAGACTGTCTAGATCTGTTGATTTCAAAGCAAGCGCAACTTAAGTGACATTAACTAAAGATATTTAGAGGCAGTAATCAGCTAAGTTAGTAATCACAGCGATGTTTCTACGACTGCCTCATCAAAACAAACACTACTGCACTTGATTGTTGAGAGCAGAAGTGATGAAGTCTGATTAGATCGAAGTGCGAGGGAGCCGTCAGCTTGCCTGAGTACTGCTCTGATGAGATGGGGCATTTGGGAATGTCCTGGGAGAACATGCTGGCCAGTGGGCTTGTGTGCGCTTTGAGTGAAGGGGCTGGGGGTGGAACAATCGAACTGGAATTGGTCTGAGGAGAAAAAACATTTTTGTATGCCTTTTTTCAATAAAATTTAACAACTCAACGAGTTGATGTTCTGGCTTAAACATGTGAATGCTACATGGCTCTCAAACAAACAAAAAATAGCATTTAAACAATCATATGTAAATTTAATGTTGGTACACCATGTTCTAACATTAGACTAACCCTCTCACGGCGTTCCAATGCAGGCGAGGACTCGGGTATGACTGACATTGAAGTCCGCAGACCCTCAATCATGGATATCACGGTGTCTGGTACCCCGGTGACATCGGTACACTTATCTTGCCAGCTGGGCAGTTTGACGGTCAGTATCTCCTTGGCCTGTGGGTGCAAGTGCACATACAGTTTGAAGAAAGAAATGCAAACAAGGTACACTTCCGTTCAAAATGATAGGGTCAGTATGTTTTTTGTTTTTGTTTAAACTTACAGTTAAGGCATTTATAATGTTACAAAAGATTTCTATTTCAAATTAATTCTGTTCTTTTCATCAAAAAAAAAAAAAAAAGTATCATGGATTCGATTTTTTCCCCCCAAATCAGCATATTAGAATGATTTCTGAAGGATTCATGTGACACGGAAGACTGGAGTAATGGCTGCTGAAAAATCTGTATCACAGGAATGAATTTTATAATACTTTTTGTTTTGTTTATAAATCGTCTTTTTAAAAGCATTAAAACTATTGTACTAAACCAAAACTCTTCAAAAGTAGTGACCTTGTACCATTTTAATTTCTTGTTGTTCCCAAAGTCTAACAACAATATTAACTGGAAAATCAGCAAGTTTAAAATTTGACTCTAAAAAGCTAAATATTTTCAGTGGGTCACCTTGTCATGGAAGGCTGCTAGCTGATAGGAGAAGACACAGTGTTTGTCCACTAAGAAACAGAACCTCCTTTTCTCTTCCATCAGAGCCTCCTTACATCCTTCAGCAATAAAGCTCTGCATGTCTGTCTGCCGGGATGAGATGGTCTCCATACACTAGAGATGAAATCAATCATACAATATGGCTGCATCACATGATACACTCATAGTAGTCAGCTAGAGTGGGACAGATATACTTGATTTCTTGCTTGAAATACATCTTTTTGGGACAGATTACATTGAGAAATACAAACAAAACATCACATTTAACAAAATGAGTCTATGCTTTCATAGAACAGAGCTGTTACCAAGCAGACCTGTGAAAATGACACTAGAAACAGAGCTCTGTTCTTCTTCACAGGAATCCCCTCGCTATTATACAGTAGTTCTGTGCAAGTTGTCATAGTGACCGTGAACGTTGCTTGTTTCCTTGGAGTTGTTTTCAGAATCGTTTGCAGATCATGCCTGGACACGCAAGTCCCACACAACAAGTATTGTCTCTCAGTGCAATATGAATGTATGATATGACTTCATCGCTATCTAAAATTATGATTCGGTGGCTTTTTGTAAGGGACATGATCTGACATGTTTTTGGATAAGATTCTAGTCACTACTGAGGTGAATGACATTTCATCAACTCAAGATGTGCATACTTTCATGACTTATATGATACCTACTTGCAGGAAACAAGTTTTGTACATCATATGTACTCATCTGCCACCACACAACAAGATTTTTTGCTTTTATGTTATATAGGACAGTAGGAAAGAAAGGAAATCACGGGAGAGGGGAATTGGACCAGGAAAGGACCTCAAGTCAGGACTCGAACTCTGGTTGCCCGAAGTGCAACCACACCAAATGTCTGAGCTTTAAGTTTGATACTGTGTTTACAATGGCAATTTCAAGTTTCAGATTTATTGTGACTAAAAAGCATTTTAATGCTAATGTTTGACTCAGTTAAAACAATTTACATGATTGTGGGTGATGCTTTGTTAAACTCAGCAGCAGCTCAGTTCAATTTTCCTTCAGACATCTGTCAAAAAAGACACTCAGAAGCAAACACATTACATAAAAAAGGTTTCCATTGCTAACCGTTCAAAGAAACAGTACGCCTTTGAAAGGAGGAACACAATGGTGAGCTATTAAAACTGCTAATTAATAGAGACCACCCCAGTAGAGTTTATTAAGTGTCAAATCATGTTCCTGATATTGAGTCAGAAACTAAATTGAATAGAGCCGGTCCCTTTGTCATTGGTTCCATTGAGAACTTCCTTTTGGCTTTTAGATTTTGGATTTATAAGTAAAATATTGTCTGAAATGAATACTACTTGAAAATATTTTTACATTTTGCCCTCCAAAATATATATATTTTTTGAAGCCACTGTTTTTTGTTTGTTTGTTTTTCTTTTGTTCAAATGTTGCTATACAGACTAAATGTTTGACTTATCAAGCATATAAACCCATCATTGTAGTAGTTGTAGTCTTTAATAAAATTGGCATGAAGTAAAATTTCATCTGTTTTCTAAATGCATATTTTAGATTTTGTGAACAAATCATTTGTGCATGCCTTTCATTAAAAAATTTACCTAATAATGTTTATTCAAAATGACATAACTGGACCTTCTATCTGGTGATGTATGTAGGACTTTAAGTATAATTTAGTCCACTTAAACCCTGCCCCTGCAAACTCACATTCATCTGCCTCCACTTTTGAGTGCAATGCCCACATCTCAAAATCCAATCAACAATCGATGCATAACCAAGTCCCCGCCCAACATTTTTCTTTTTCTTTACACAGTAGCTCCAAAATTCATGTTGTATGATCAGACAGAAAAGAATGCCAGATAGATATATTTCATAGCAAAAATACAATAAATGCTTACCTCATTTTCTTTGATCTCATACTTGGACAAATGCTTCCCTTGACTTTTCCGGCGCAGTTTCTTCAGGTCAGCCTGTGATTTGTCCAAGAAGTCTTGCTTAAATTTGTGTTCTGACTGGTATCTTTTGAATGTGGCCTAGAAGGAATGTAATATCGTGGTAAGTGCAGGTAAGTGCAATATGGGAAGTATGACGAGGAGAAAAACACACAATACTCACATTCATGTACTTGATATCCATATCAGTTTTCTTTTCAAGTTCAGCAATGAGCTCTTTGTGGAACTTCATGAACTGTAACAACAAGGTTAATGGCAATAAATCATCATCACACAGCGATAAAAAAATCAATATCAGTGAAATTGCATGAAATCATTCCAATACTATGATAACATGACTATGTAGAGAATTCGAACAAAAAGGGTTATCTTATCAGCTTCAGTGGTTAAATATTCATAACGCTGTGAGTTTGAATACCTAAGATCATTTGATAAAAAAAGGTTTTGAAGGAAGAAATGCTCTGAAAGTCAAGAGAGCAAAGGGTCAACAGCCCTCAATACAGTCACATACCGCAGATAAGTTCAGCACACACTATCCCTAAGGCAAAATATGACTGTATGATTTATAATGTTAAATCATGTGACTACAAAAATGTTTGAAGTTACAAATTCACAAAGCACATGCCCTAAAGGTTTCCTCCAATAGCATTGCCTGCTTTAGTTCTGCTCGTAGGTTTTAACACTCGAAGATGTGTTTCATAAAAAAAATTATTTAGTTTTTTTATTACAGCCCTACACACTGTAAATTTACATTTAATTTATTTAAAATTACTGTTTTCATTTAATATATTATAAAATGTATTTTATTCCTGTGATGGCAAAGCTGTATTTTCAGCAGCCATAACTCCGGTCTTCAGTGTCACATGATCCTTCAGAAATCATTCTAATATGCTGATTTAGTGCTCAAGAAACATTTACTATCATCAGTGTTGTACAGGTGATACATTTTTCAGGATTCTTTGATGAATAGAAAATTCAAAAGTTCAAATCTTTTGTGACATTATAAATGTCTTTACACTCACTTTTGACCAATTTAATGAATCCTTGTTTAACAAAACTATTAATAAGATCTTATTGATCCCAAATTTTTGAACAGTAGTGTATATATTCCACAAGGCAATATAATAATAATTCTGAATTTACAAAAATGATCCTGTTGAAAAAACACAAAAGACTCCAAGCAGTCATTGATGAAGGCAACACACAATATGAAGAATCAAGGGTATGCTAAATTTTGAAAGGAAAATTTTATTAATTTATCATTTTAACTTGTGGAATATACAGAATATGTGTTCTTCAGCTTCTTCTGGAGTTGGAGAGAAATAAGAGAGAAAAAAGTGATGTATCAAGATCATAAACCAAATGAAGAACCTTGCATACTTACAGACACCTCCATCTCCAGTTGGACCTTCTTGTGCACTTCTGAAATCTCCATCAACACCACGCCTGAGAAGAAAAATGAAACATTATTGCTACATTACTGATAAACTGGATAAACAGTTCAAAGTTGCCTTCAGAGAGGTATCAAGTTGTATTTTAGACTTGAACTTCTCTTTACATGTGTATTATTTTATGACTACACCTTTAGCATGCGTCTCTCCTACTCCGTATGATCAGTATCATTTCATCTAACTAGGGCTCCATTAGTGTTGCTCATACAAACAAACCCCAGAGCAAACAAACTGAGGTGAGCTTCAGCATTATTACTCATCTAGCAGTTATAAAAGCATCATTAGCATGGTAAGGTCAGTGGAGTGAGTTTGTAAATGCAGTCTTTGTATTGAGAGTGTCAGCACCTGCTCTGTGTTTTCACAACCCCAGAGATGTAGCAAAAAGGTACTCAACCTTACAGAGGTTACAGGGCATCCCTGCCAATGGAAAAAGTCTAAATGGAGAATTATTATCAGTAAATCAACTTCTAAAATTATTAAAGCTAAATGAAAAAATGTAATGCAACAGAAATCCAAATGTACCCCCTGTAAATGTAATTTCTGCCTCCCCGGCTTTTTTCTTGATCAAATCAGTTCCCATCCTGCAATTTTTTACAATGATTATCCCATTTCACAAATATGTCATATTAAAGATAAAATGGGATTTGAACGATGCATCATGTTGATTTCAGATTATTTACAATCAGGGCTTGACATTAAAGGTGCTCTAAGCGATGTTGGGTGACGTCACTTCTTGTTGACGTTCAAAGTATTGTCAAACAAAACGGAGGCTAGCTCGACCCTCCCTCCCCCTCATCCTGTCCCCTCCCCCTCCCTTCCGTTGCACGTGCACTAACCCCCACCCCCAAATCATTCTTGTCGGTTATTGGCTGAAACACTGTTTGTTATGTTTTGTGGTCCAGGTTGTATTGGACCAGTTTGTTTTTGTTGCCGTTTGTGGAGCCTGGGCTGTCTACAGAGACCGTGGTTTTCCAAAGTTAGCCACTAAGTATTTTCACTGGCAACAATTTTGACATCGATACCATGGGGAAAAACTGCCATATAGATATTTTTAATATCATCTCATATTTTGGCAGCAGGTATATTAGGCTGCTGTTACTTTAAGACCTGATGTAGTTATACATTATAAGACCCATTATAGTTGCACGTGTTTTCTTTCTCAACTGTTTAGATTCACTTAAAACATAAAGGACTGTGTTTACATGAATAGTCGCCAAGACCGGCATTTTGGCATTATTTTGTGTGTATTTGACTGTTTAAGCGAAATAAGCAATGAGAACTCAATAAAACAACAAAAATAACTCAGTTTAGTACTGAGAGGCGGCTTTATGTGACCACACTTTAGGTGTGAGATCAAAATCTGTGGGAATGAGTAAAATTATGCCACATTGAGACCTGTAACACCAAAAATATTAATCAAGAGCAAATTAAACGAGAGAGCGAGAAAGCGCAGCTGGTATCTAGCTTGTATCTTTTCTGTGGAAAATGAGTATTGGAACTGAAGCGTTTCAGATATTTCAGTATCAATATGTATCAGAAAATGTATATTTTTAACACTATTGTTCTCATTTGTAAGTCGCTTTGGATAAAAGTGTCTGCTAAATGAATGTAAATGTACAACGTTGCACTGATGTCAATTTAAATAAGTAATTTGTAATCAAACTTTATAATCATTTGAAGTGTGAGAGTAAATGTGGAGTTAGATACATGTCAAGTCAAGTCAGGTCACATTTATTTATATAGCGCTTTTTACAATACAGATTGTTTCAAAGCAGCTTTACAGAGATAACAGGAAAATAATGCAACAAAGTTTGTTTCCAGAAGAATATAGCATCACAGTCTAGCTTAAGTAAGTTCAGTGATGTTAAATTTTTGTTGTAAAAAAGTTATTAATTTAGTTTATTTATATATACAGTATATAGCCGCTCTAGAGAAAACCGTGATGTCATCGCTCAGCTCAGTTCAGTTCTCATATAATGGTGTCAATGCAGGCAGATCAATAATATTGATTAATATTTAATTAAGTGTCCCCAACTAAACGAGCCAAAAGCCAATGTCAAGAAAGGTGAAAAAGGGCGACAAAGGTGAAAAAGGCGACAGTGGCAAGGAACCAAAACTCCATCAGGTGAGAGAATGGGGAGAAACCAGGGTCAGTCGGGGGGCCAGTACTCCTCTGGCCAACGAACGAACAGGGTATGATTATGATTCAGAAAGCATTATAGGTCAGATTGGATTGAAACAATCAGAATATTATCCAGTTCCATCTGTTCCATTCCTTACATGTAAGAGTATAGAATATCGGAATATCAATGTTTAGTGTTGATGGAATTTTAACGTACATGTTGCCGCATACTGTCATAATAAAAGATCATTTGTAATCAAGTAATTTAGTAATCAAACTTTATAATCATTTGAAGTGTGAGAGTAAATGTGGAGTTAGATACATGTCAAGTCAAGTCAGGTCACATTTATTTATATAGCGCTTTTTACAATACAGATTGTTTCAAAGCAGCTTTACAGAGATAACAGGAAAATAATGCAACAAAGTTTGTTTCCAGAAGAATATAGCATCACAGTCTAGCTTAAGTAAGTTCAGTGATGTAAAATTTTTGTTGTAAAAAAGTTATTAATTTAGTTTATTTATATATACAGTATATAGCCGCTCTAGAGAAAACCGTGATGTCATCGCTCAGCTCAGTTCAGTTCTCATATAATGGTGTCAATGCAGGCAGATCAATAATATTGATTAATATTTAATTAAGTGTCCCCAACTAAACGAGCCAAAAGCCAATGTCAAGAAAGGTGAAAAAGGGCGACAAAGGTGAAAAAGGCGACAGTGGCAAGGAACCAAAACTCCATCAGGTGAGAGAATGGGGAGAAACCAGGGTCAGTCGGGGGGCCAGTACTCCTCTGGCCAACGAACGAACAGGGTATGATTATGATTCAGAAAGCATTATAGGTCAGATTGGATTGAAACAATCAGAATATTATCCAGTTCCATCTGTTCCATTCCTTACATGTAAGAGTATAGAATATCGGAATATCAATGTTTAGTGTTGATGGAATTTTAACGTACATGTTGCCGCATACTGTCATAATAAAAGATCATTACGACTGCCAGTCTGCCACTAGGTGGTGAATTCCGAGAGTCTGAATGTCATGTGGAGTGGAAAGGCAGCTTAACCCTTTATTGTAGAAAAGAATCTGCCCTTGTCTAAAAGCTCCTGCAGAAAGCATAACACATCCGCAACAGAACAGAGAGAAGGGACGATGTGTCTGTGTGTGCACCATCGCTCCAACACATTCCATTTCCGATCATTTGCAGAGCGAATTATCTTTTTTCTTTTGCTATTTGAGCAAATGTAAACACAAAAAATATATTTAATGTAGCATCTCATTCACTGCTATAGAAGTTTACCCAACTAAGACGACTTCCACTTCCAATAGGATGTATCACGTCACGTGATTTTCTTGCATCTAGCCAAAAACTTTGATAGGCAATTTGGTAGTCCTATTCGTATTTTATATGGTTATGGTACTATTAAGCTTGGTGATGAAAGTTAATATATGTGATAAAATGAAAAAATGATATATTTAAATAAGTATTTTAACTACAAATTACAGTCCCTAAAAGTATTTAATTACAAATTACATAATACTCAAAAGTAATTAAATACGTATTTCAAATACATGTAATTAACCTACTGCCCATCTCTGCATGCATGCATGCCAACTCATGTATGTCCCGCCTGGTAGATCAGCACGTTACAATTCAAATGTGTGCATCTAACACAAACGCACTGGATCTCTTCCCAAATCGTCCCTTCCTAACATTTTCCTCTATTTTTTATTTGTTGACGAAAATGTCAATAGATTTTCGTTATAGTTTTTGTCATTCGAAACTGGTTTTTATTTAGTTATCGTCTCGTTTTCGTCTGTGAAAAAATGTCGTTAACGAAAATAATGACAAATTATTCATCATCGAAATTAACACTGGATGTAACGAGTACATCAGGTGTTATGGGAACTGTTCCAGGTTTCGGCTGGCCTAATTTATGAAGCCTAATAATCATTGTACATTATTTGAATAATATAAATTGATAATGTGCGATGTGTATGCCAGGTTAAAGAGATGTGTTTTCAGTCTAGATTTAAACTGACAGAGTGTGTCTGCTTGCTAGGAAACAATGCTAGGAAGACTATTCCAGAGTTTAGGTGATAAATACTGTAGGAAAAGAATCTACCGCCAGCAGTCGATTTTGATGTTCTAGGTATTATCAAATGGGCAGAATTTTAAGATCGCAATAGACGTGAAGGACTATAATGCATTAAGAGCTCACTCAAGTACTGGGGTACTAAACCATTTAATGCCTTTTTAAAAATTACTTTAAAACCATTTAAAGTAATTGGCAAGATTTTAAAATGAATACAATGTTTAATAGGGAGCCAATGCAGTGTTGACTGAACCGGGCTAATATGGTCATATGGTCACTTTCTGGTTCTAGTAAGAACTCGAGCTGCTGTTTGGACCAGCTGAAGTTTGTTTATTAAGCGTGCAGGGCAACCACTCAGTAGAGCATTACAATAATCTTGTAATGATTCTTGATTAATTACATTAACTTTTCAGCATTTGTCATTGAGAGCATATGTCGTAATTTAGATATATTTTTAAGATAGAAGAATGCGGTTTTCCAGATGCTAGAAACGTGGCTTTCAAATGAAATATTGGTATCAAAGAGCACACCCAGGTTCCATCACCGATGACTTTTTCATCAGTTCCAGACTCCGGTCCAATTTGTTGGTAAAGAAATCCACCCGCCAGCTAGGTCTTCACGATATATCGTTTTATCATCAATATCGTGATATGCTCATCAGCGATAGTCACATGATCACAGGATGTGCAATGTCAAGAATAGGGATCATAGTTTATCCATACAGACCAGGCACTGTGGTTCAAAATGCACGTAATTCTCTGATTACTGTAATTGCAGTTTA